GCGTGAAATTGACCTGATGAAGCTCATGCTAATTCTCCTGTGAGACATCCCTCGATGGGATTGCTGAGCAGCTAGGGAGGAAACAAAGGCCCCCCGCACCCGCAGGAAAGATTCTTTGAACGTTCCTAGGCTTGTTTTTTGCAAGTCTCTCTTGAGCAAACATAATATGCTTGCTGTCAATGACTAAGTGCTTGGTCTTGTCGATTATTTCCTTCCTCCTGTGAGAGTACTTGTCGTCAGCTAGGAGCAGCTCCGATCTCGTCCCGCTTCCTGCAGAGCCAACGGTGCATGCAGGCATGTACAACCAGCGTGCTGAATCCATACGGACGCACACTGCACAAGGCCTTTCCCGTACCTTTTGTTGCCGTGCCTCTAATGATTGAGCATGCAGAGTTCCAATTGTATCCAAGCTAAAACAATCACCCCACGAAAAGGAAAACTCGCACAACCTACCAGGCAAAAAACAAAAATCAGGTCCCGAGCCCATGCATTCTTCCAATCCGTTTCGGAAGCGGCGCCTTGGGGTCGAGGAGCAACTCCAACTTCTCGAGCTCTGAGAGGAGCTCTTGACCCACCTGGACCGATGGAGTCCTTTTGCCTAAATAGGGAACGTGTTCCCCGAAGGACAGGCGGACAGGTTGCTTTTGGTTTCCCTTTTGAGTCCACAAAGGGGGAACACCAAAAAGAGGGTCAACCAAAAAAACTGCGAGCCTTCCCACCACTCGTTCCCAAAATCGTGTTTCTTGTTCTCCTTCTCTTTCTTAGTTCTCTAAAGTTTATCGTTCTTACATTGTATATGTTTGTTCTTGGCTGTCTCTTTGTTTTTCTGCTTCTCCTTTGCTTTCCATAAAGAAGGCTATAAAGCCCCAATGGGGTGTGCCTGGCTTATTACCCATAAATTAGCAAACCCAGGCGCATAATAGGACAAGCATGGATTTTTGAAAGCTTGTTTGTGTCTCTGAGCCCTTCCCCTTTAAGTGGACAATCGGGTCAACAGGCGGCCAAGTTTGATGGTCGCAAACGGGGACTCGCCTGGTTCTTCGAACGAACAATTCCTACCCCCCCCCCCCTCCCCCTCGTCCCCCTCCTCCCCCTCCTCCCCCCCCCCCCTTTCCAAAACAAACCAACACAGTTTTGGTCCGTTCCCTGAGGGGGTACGTTGGTGGGCTGGCTTGTTCAACAAGTATACTCAGCACCTATGCCATTCAAGTCAGCCTCAACAGCTGAACTTTTTTAACCGGCCGGCAAAGGCGGTTTTCATGTGGCCAAAAATGCATCTTTAGGAACCCTGCCAAATTCATCGAGTACCAGCACCTTGCCTGTCTTGAATCTATGCCAGCGTTCAACTCAGTAGTATTAAAGAGCTTTACGCAAGCCAGTTTACGTGCTGCCACACCTATGCATGATTGGGACTCCCCCCTCCAACCTTCACCTACCTGACTGTGACTCATTCGTGCCATGGTCAAATTTCCTATGCAAATCAATGGTTCTAGCACAGGGTTCACGACCAGCCCTACCAAGTAAAGGAACTAGTCTTTTGACCATGATAAACAAAAAACAGGGTATGTCCTCAAATTTGGGACCCCTTCATGTGGTTGGTTTCCTTTTGATCGAAAAACACCCATAACGGGACCCCGAACAATTGTGTTCGTTTTGGTTTCGCTTTAAACCAAGGCTGAAAAAGGGTACCCAGCCCCAAAAACAATGCCCACGGCAGCTGCCACGGGTTTCCGACCGGGCCTTGCCGCGCTTTCGCGACACAAAGCGCGGTGCCCTGCGCGTTTTTTTTGTTAAAGAACTGGCTTCCGTATCCTTGTCCTTTCCGATTTACTTGGCCGCCTCTGTTTGGGCATGCCCGTTTTTTAGCAGCCCCTGTAAAAGGGAAACCAGACAGCGGAGCGCACCAGCTTGGAGTCACCATTTGGGGGTTACGAAGTTCATTAATAGGGCGAATGGGTTTGGGGTGAATGGGTTTACCCGCGGTTTACCCCTTTCGGCACACTTTTAGGCACAGCAAGGGGCATGTTAATCTCGGGAGTAACAGTTTGAATGTGTGACTCCTTGATTTAGTCTCCAGGGCTCAAAACATGGACAAGCTTGGATTTGCAGGAGTAAGTGTCCCAGCATCTGACATGAAATACCGTCGTCCGTGAACGAATATTTAGCCTCATCAGTGAATTGATGGTCCTGATGCAAGCTCGGCAAATTGAGTAAGTGCAAGTCATGCCAAAGGAGCCCAAGAGCAGGAATTGTTGCTCTCTGTGCCACAGGATTTGGATGCATTGGATTCACACTGAAAACTTTGTACTTAGAACCATTCGGCCACTCCGGCAACCCTTATCACTGCAAGGTGAACTGAACACATCTCTCACTCACAACTTGCTTTGCTCCCACTCAATGACTGCTCTCTCCCCCCCCCCTCGCTTGCCCCCCCCGCATTCGCTGATTCCCTCCTTGCCTGGGGGGCGGCTTCTCTACAAAGCGCTTCTTGGGCGCCTCCAAGGGCTTCATGCACCCAAGGCTGCTGAGACAGAAGCGCAGGCACAGCACCGCGCAGCTCACCAAATACCCCACCAACCTGCCGAATGCAGTCATTCGCGCAACCGCTTGCGCTTGCCGGGGACGTGTACATTAGGTTGGGGTGCAGGGCAACCCCCCGCCAACCAAAGCCAGCTTTAAAACCGCACATCAAATGCGACAAAGCCACATGTACATGGCGTCAAAATATGATGACTTGGGGAACGGAGCCATGTTCAACAAATAGTCTCTTGAACCTGAAACACCCACACAGTAATTCTCAAGGAGAAAAGGATACCTCGTGCCAAGGATCCAACTGACAGACTGCTGGAACCCGAAGGGCGCGTCCTCGCTCGTCTCCGTGGTTGGCCTCTGTGTCTCCTTCCCTGGGGAGCTGCATACACCAGGATCACCAGGTGGCGCACATTCGTCAGAGGGCGCGGTCGTGGTTTGGGCCGGCCCTTGATGTGCCTCGGCCGCTGGCAGCGATGGCAGCACCACCTGGTGCTTCTGGATGAACTTCTCGGTCCTGGGGCTGTTTCAGTAAAACATCCTCAAGATGTCCCGAGCCATATGGTGGTCTAAAGGGAAATGACGCGGCAAAGAAAATTTGAGAACCCCTCAAAACCAAAATGAAAGGCAGAGGAGGAGGACCCCCTCAAAATGCAAGCGCTTTCTGGGTGTGCTCTTGAGCATACCCTGGCCCTTTTGCCGGCCTGGAGGAAAACCAGAAGGAACCAATAATTTTGGGTCCCCCTATTTGGACACACAAACTCACTTTCACGGGCCCAGTCCTCTCTTTCACGACTTCTGACTTGGAACTCGCCAGCAGCGTTAGCGCGCGGTCCCGCACAGACGCCCGCCCAGCCTCTGGCCCCGGTCCAGCCTCTTTCCCTGGCCCAGCATCTTGCTCTGGCCCAGCCTCTTGCCCTGGCCCAGCCTCTGGCCCACTGACCTACCGAGTTTTACTCGCCAAACAAAGCGATGAACAAACATGAACAGTGCGTGTTCAAATTCTTGCAACAAAGTGTGTGTATGTCTGTGTGTGTGTAACGCTTGCTAACCAAAAATGCCGACAACCTTTGAGCAAACAACTTGTCGAATTCTGACACCCCATATTCTGCCTCCCTGATTGCCCAACTTGTGCGTATGATGGCATGGTTTGACACAACCCCGACAGATTCTGTGTCTCCCCACCCGGCAAGCCACTCAGCAAACTCCATGTTGGGATCATACTTCAGGCCTGCTTCCTGGAATTACAACAGCCATGGAGGTTTGTCTTTTCGTGTATCTTACCCGTTTGTTATTTTTGTTTGGGGGGTGGTGGTTAAAAAGGAAACCAGAAGAAAGCCGAAGACATTTTGGGGTCCAACCAAGACGATGGGGAACTTCGATCCATCCGCGCCTCGGGCTTCTTGGCTTTCGCCTTGGCCTCGCCCAGCTTCAGCCCCCGCGCGGCCTCTGCCCTGCGGGTTTTTGAGCGCGGAAGCGGATCGTCCCAAGCGATTTGTCTCAAAAAGTGCCGAAAACCGGAGTAGTACATCAAACCCAACAAGTTGCGCGGAATTCTTCGAGGTGTTTTTTGTTTTTCTTCGCTCAGGTGATTGAGCATTGTTTAGTGTGGAATTTCTAAAAATGGGGGGAAAGCAGGCGAAGCCCATGGTCAGTTTGGGTTGTCGGGTCTCCAACTGGGAGAACCACGAAATGGGTTGCCGTTTGGTTGCCCATGGAAAGCAAACCCAGACACTGGTGCCCTCCCCCACCAAAGGAAACACAAAACGCGTCCGCTTTTTTCCACCGGGGCCTTTTCTGCGGGCACGGGTTGGGCACGTAAAGTGCACAGGAGGCTTGTTGACTACCATCTCCGGAAAAGCCACGAGTCCACTTCCAGGATTGTTGGAGAGAGCAAGTGGGGTAGAAAGGGCCTGTTGCGTAACATGGTTTATGTCTAGTTGCCTTGGAATATTCAGGGGAATTGTTAAACGGGCAGCCAGACGTCAAGCAATGATTCGGTCTGGTTCTAGACTTGCTACTTCTTGCCTTGATTGCTTCAAGGGAAACCAAAGGAACTCACCTCCCCCTATTGAGGGAAACCCAGCTCCTTCGGGGCAAGACGGTGCTGAACGTGGGCGGCCCAGACGTGCGGGGGGACGTGGTTGATGTGGTGCTGCGCACCCGTGGCGCCGCCTTGGGCGCGCGCCGCGGCTCTCTGCGATCAGCGCGCATGGCCGGGCGCACGCATTGAGAGCCGAAGGATCTCGTCTCGTCGTTGGTGCTGGAACTGGTCGATTTGCTGGAGGATTCTGGCTAAGTGTTGAATCTCAAAGCCCCGACTGTCGAGAGGTGACAGAACAGGGCCTAAGGGAACGCTGCCGCGGGCAAAGCTTCAATCTGTGTGCATTGGATGCAGTCACGGGAAGTCACGACAAAGATCCTTTGCCGAGGACACCCAGAAACACGACTCATCAAATGAATCGCAACCC